CACGTTGTAGTATTCATTGTCCAACATTTCAAAGAAACTGTGAGACAAACTACAGTTAATATGGGTATCGTTGTCTCGGAACAGGAAGGAAGAGATTAGGCCCACGCATCAGATTAGATGGCTATGGAATCGAGATTGGTCAGCCATATAATATGGTACGGTTGATACAATTTCGAATCAGCAGACGAGAAGAACATCTTCCGGTGTACCTTAGTATACATCTTTATTCGGGTTTTTTTGTTTTGTTTGTTTGTTTATTTATTGTTGCTTTTAAACATTTGTTTTCAAACAGTCTAAAGCATGTCAGTGAATATGAAAAGCAACGGCGTACTGTTTCTAAAGATACACGTCGTGTTTCCACGTTTTGAAGCAAATCCGCATACTGAAACAATAGACAGATTTTTAGAGCGCAGGAGTGCTGCTATGGTTTGTTGTTGTTGTTGTTACTGTTGTTGCAACTTTACGAGTTCGCCAAATGCATAATATGGGTTTAACACACCAAAGGATATTTATGAGACTAGGACTCCTAAATTTTAACGGTCATTTCCGATAGTACCAACACGACAAGTACCAACACGACATATATGAAGGGATCAAGTGAAAATTATAATAAGTCCATTTGGAGAATAAAAAACAAACAAACAGCACCAGGGCACCACCTCTTAACTTGCATCCATACCAGTAGAACAGAATCCTATGAAATCAATAAAGTGAAGTGCCAACTAAGTAATTCACAAACTATATCTCTATAAAATAGCAAACCAAGTTAAGAACACACCAAGTCCACCACTAAAAAGTCTAAAATAGCCAAGTCATGGTAGGATTAATGTGAAATCGCCAGGGTTTTTTTTTTTTGTGTGTTTTTTTTTTTCACGTGAGCCCATCACATGAGTGAATGTCCTCGAAGACTAAAAAACCAAATAAACAACAACAACAAAACCCAAAGACAAAAACAAAACAAAAAACCCTCTCAAGTTCAGGAACGCTTACGCTCCACTGGAAATCGGATCATAGTAATCCGCACCTTAGCCCGGCATGCTACCACTACTTGCCAATTGAGCAAATGGTGCGTCCCATGAGAGCCACTAATCTGCTATGCGCGAAAAGAACAGTTTACCTTCCTGCATGTAATTCCCCCGAGAACCCGTCAGTCCCACCTTGATGTTCTGAAGGGGAAAGCAACTCGCCATGTTTGTTGGGAATTGTTTATCAAACCTTTTTCAATATGCCCATACAGTAATTAATTTTATCTCTTAAAAATCGGGATCTTCGATTTGAAAGCAATCTTCAAAATGGCCACATCAACTGTATAGATAATCAAAAAAATGCCTCAAATATCCAAAGTTCAAGAATTTACTTTGGGCTCGTCACATGACTTGATGCACTTGCGAGCACCGTAAAATTTTTACCAAAAACAAATCATCCCTTGAGGGTTTGAATCATCCATCAAAATCTCAGCCTTGTATGATACAGAAGGTTTGAGGTCCGGGCAAACAACAACATATTTTGAATCTAAACAATATATTAAAACACATGAGTAGTAGAATAGTCTGACATGGCCACCTATTGTCGAAGAAAAGATTATCTTTTTTGACAGATGGCTGTCGTAGGCAGGACTGATCAAAATTTAAAAAAAACCCAAATCGTTTCTTTTTGAGGTTCCAACTGGAGACAGTCGCAGGCTTGGGCCGAACTGCCATAAGCCCCTTTAAAAAGTTACCGACTGGAGGGGGTAACTTTTTCCTGATCAGTGTGATTTTTTAATAACATTTTCCTGCGCTATTATTATTAATATCTAAAATATGGTATCATTTCTCACTACTGCATTGTTTACTCCCTTGCAGGCTTTAAACAGTTTTCTGACAGGCATCGTCTGGGGCAGTGAAGTGAAAGGCGAGTGGAAATGGCACTCCAACATTCCCACCCTCAAGTCTCCCACGCCAGGGCTCGTTACTTACTACAAGTACCTGGAACGAAAACTCGTGAAGAACACAGCAGACCGTGCCATGCTGAGACTGCAGACCGGAGACTTCACAAGGACTCCTTTGGGCAAGATCTTCCGCAAACATTTTGAGATACATCTGGCTCGCCTCTCGTGGCAGCACGACTGGGAGACGTCACGTGACAAAGTGCTTACAATGGACGGGCGGGATGGGAGGCCGTATCACTATATCCTGCCGTCCGTGTACAAACTCCTGCACCATCTTGTCGCCACCAAACGGGATTTCGCCATCATTATACGCACGTATGGTAGAGACGCTAACAACGTCTTGTCCAGCTTGCATTACGGACTAAGGGGCCACCATCCGGCCTTCAGGTCTCCCTTGTACATCCCCGTGGATAAAACACCAGGTACCATCAAGAGAAGTGGAAACTCGTTCGAGCTGAAGACTTTCGCGACGAAACGAGAGCAAGAGATTCACCAGCTGCTGACACACGAGAGAGACATCTACCGTTTGATGTGTGCCTCCAAAGGCATCTCGGGTTATGTTGATGATTTCTTAGCATGGCAAGATAACAACTACAACCACACCTCGGGAAAACCCATCTGGATCGACCCGAGCGATCATCGTCATCACCACATTTTCTTTGACGACAACTTCAGAGCGGATGACGAAGACAGCATCTTGGACGTTCGAATGTTTCGGAAAGAAAATCCAGGCAAAGCTGAGAGCTTGAGCCATGCAGAGTTGGTGGACTTGGAGGAAGTTTGCCTTGTACAAGCTGATTTGCTGGAAAGCATAGCGGATGAGGATTATTTCATCAAAACGGTCCAGAAATGCGAAGAGAATTACGCGCGTATGGTGATGGGCGGAGAATTGTGACGACCGAGTGCTCAAAACAAAGACATGCCTTTTCATTATACATGTAGCCTACTACAGATACTGCAGCGTAAAGATATTTCAGCTTCATTTTCAGAGATGTCATGAATCAAAAACGAATTCATCCTATTGAAACAAACAGATTTCTATATAAGCAATAGGATCAACATAGTTACAAATAGTTGCAATGAGCTCCCTGATAGCAGAAGGCCTCTCTGGGCCGCACCAGTGTATGGAAACCCAGAGAAAAATGTCATTTGTTGTCTGCTTAAATCCACACTGTTCGTGAAGGGAAAGCGCCCGTTAAGCATTTACTTTTTGCCACCCCAAAGCCTCAATGAATTACTACTTACTAGTATATGCATTTAAATGCTTACTGTCGGCGAAATGTAATAAGTAAACGATGTTGTTAAATGGCATACGCATGCTTGCACAAACACATGCACCCACAAGCATATACGATACCTATACATGAACAGTACCCCCCCCCCCCCCCCCATTTTCACCTTAACAACATATACACACATTATACTATGGATGTATGCATGCACATACACACACAGGGACACACACACACATAAACAAACACACACTCACACACATAAAGCAAGCATAAGCTGTTTATTAACATTTAGACAGAGGATAATGAGTCTGAATGTATTATTCTGTGATATTAATTTTTGCACTGAAAAATTGATGGTACTGAGTGATTGTTACATCCACTCCCTCATAAAGTCAATGAGTATTATGTTTTTTGTGGTTAAAAAATTAATGTTGGTGTTTTTACGCTCTCATTGACGCAATTTGGATCATTTAGGAGACAAGCTACCAACCCTGCCTGTCAGGGCCAATCCGGGCTGAGAGGAAAACAAAATCCCAGCTGAAAAACCAAGATACTTGATAAAGATTCCAACTCACTCGGGAATTGATCTCAGGTGTTCTGCTTGCAACAACGAAGTGCTGCAAAAAAACAAACAAAAAAAAACACTGGTATTTTGGTTTCAATTATCTTGGATAAAGAATTTGCTTCTGGAACTATATGAGCCTAATTTCTGTTGACGAAAGCATAGATAGTCAAAAGTCTGTGGAAATACTTTTAAAAAAACGTATTGCTGTACGAAGAACAATTAAAAGACTTGGAAATGATAATCATTTATAGTGAGAAAGCTCTTGGTTCAGGGTCAAAAGACAAGAATTGTAATTGAAAAGTTTGTCTCCACCCCTGTGAAAGTACGAGTAGCTTGGCTAGTACTAACAGAAAACCAAAAACTGAAAAGTCTATGAAGGAAAAATAGTTTTTGTTATGAACTTGGAAGAACACATACATCTCAGCAGTATAACTCTAGTCTTAAGTACCATTAAAATATTTTTTAGCTTTTGATTGTTCTTTTAAGTATCAAGATATCAAATTAAGGACATAATAATACAGCAAGATCTGCACCACTCTTTTTATAAAATTTATAAAATTTTAATGTAACATATATTATATAAGAGCCCTTATTTGAACAAATATTCTTTTCAATAATATTGTTGTTCATTCAAAATGTTTTCAACAAAGGGAGACATTCCAGAGATTACAGAGTGCAGAGGAACTTCATATCATCACAACGAGTGAGTTTTCCTAAGAAACAATTATCCCATGCAGCTGTTCTATTGGCTGGGTAGGTAGCACATGCACCAAGTCCTGTTGTGGTCACCATGGACGTGTTAATAAAGTCAATTGAACACTGCAACTGCTCAATTGTCTAACATCAAAATATGGGGAACCGCTATTGGGTTCTTCTTACCTTGAATTAGTAAAACTGTTATGAAGTCAATAATTGTAATATCCGTCCAAAATTTTAAGTTTTACAAATATGTTTTGTTCAAATTTATCTTTATACGCTACATAGATTTATTTTTATGATAATGTACAGCAACAGAATGCATATCTGAAGTGTTGCACTTCAGATCAGTAAACCAATATGGCTACAATTAAAAGTTTTTAAAAAATCTGTTGCTTTTATAATATCATAGCTCTTAACCTTCCATTATCATTATAATGTAAATGATGTACCAATTGGCGTTATATGAAGGCCCTACTGATTTACCATTGAAATAAACATTCCCAAAGAAGTTCAGTTACCGCTCTTCTGATTCTGTTTTGCTTCAACTTCAACACGTTTCTTTCGTAGCTTCACTCTTTTTGTGCCATGACGTTATCAGATTTCACATTTTCATGTGTGGTGGAAAAAGTCAGTGACATCGGTGCCTGACACAGAAAGAGTTATGTTACTTAGTTACTAGATACTTACTTCATGTAATGTCTCACTTTGCATCACATTCACCACAAATGAATGCAAGTTACAGATGCTTCTACTATGAAATAAACTTTACAAACCAGTCTTTCTGATTCATGCTGTGTGAACTCTTCATAATGTACATGCATGAATGACATCAAAGTGCAGAGATATTTGCAATAGATTCCATGATTCGTTGTTCCAATCAATAAACTGTCTATGAAACATACCTTCGGAAAACCTTTTATTCTTGCTGGTGTAAGTGTGCATGTATGTGTGTGTGTGTGTTTGTGTGTTTGTGTGTGTGTGTATAGCCTATATATATATATGTGTGTGTGTGTGTGTGTATTTATGACAAAGTAGCCTATATATATGTTTGTATATTGAATAAGCTCCTTGAACTAATGTGTACATTCAGTAGTAAAAAAGGAGAGCTTACAGATCAACATCTATCTCAAAGGGATAGAAACTATTTTTTTTAATATAGGTGTTTTTACGCCCCATCAACACAATTTAAGTTAAGATAATTTAGGGGGGCTTTACCTCTGCCTGTCACAGGGAGCCCCGGCTGAGAGAGATACAATGTCCCAGCAAAAAGATCGGGATACTAAAAGAATAAATTCTCTCCACACAAGAATCCAACTCAGCTCTAGTAATAGCAAAAAGCAAAGTACCTAACCACAACACCACAGATGCGGGTGCATAGAGACTACAGAAATAGAGTCTAAGATAGTCTTCAGACAGCTTTGGTTTAGAAAAGCTGGGATTTTACAATTTCACCAACACCATCCTTCAGTGCTAACAGTAACAATAATGGTTGCAACGTTAAAATAAGAGAAACATTAAAAGAAACAAACACCTGGTTTCAGAATCTGAAAAAGGTTTGATTTTAATGGACATCTTTAAAGTAAAAATACTAAAGACAGAACCATAAAAAATTAAGCTTCATTCTCTAAATATACCGGGAATATAACAAAGTATCATTAATTGTAAAATCTTATTTGGAAATGAATTTCTAAAACTGTAAGCAAAAAGCACTTCTTTAGAAATTAATTTTTAAAGCTGAGTTTCTCCTGAGCGTATTATGATTGTAACATATCAAAACACACCCTCATATACCACTGCTTTCTTGTTTATGGATTTCTGTAGAGATATACTGTACTTCCTTCATAGATGTACACACACAAACATTTAGAAGACATATCATTTTACTAATGAAGATACCAAAACATTCTTGTAGAAAAGTACGAGTCACTGGTCTACAAAAGGTAGAAAAACAAAGAAATCTACAAAAGGTAGCAAAACAAAGAAATAGGGGGTAAATCCTCAAATACCAGCCTTGGAACATGTGCTCAGATAAAAAGAGTGAAAAACCCAGCCAAACTGGGAAGAAGACTTCCCTCTGGTACACTATAACAGACAAAGCCACAACTTGTTCAACTAAGACAATGATTATATGGAATCACACAGCAGGACAGGGTAAGCACCAAATCCATCTATCATAATTCATGTACACATAATCTTTGCAATTCCTATGCACCAAAAAACAGGGGTACCTACTTTAAAAGTAGCCTGCTAACTGCCATGACATTGATAACAAAAACACTTATTACCGTCTTTACAGCAAAACCAAATCAAAGATAATGAAGTGGTTCATTATCCAAAATAATACAAAGACTGAATGCTATATTCTGTTATTCTGTTCCAAGTCTGATTTACTTCAGTTTACAGAGATACGTAATACTGACTGTAAATAGGGTGAACCGGGGCAATTCCACCCACAACTTTGCTTAAATCACTCTCATGCACTACCTAAATGTGATATCTGACTAGAATTTGCAACAAATTATGCTCTGAACAAAACATTCAACATAAAGATAACATTTGACAACTCTGACAAATCCTGTTCAAGAAATAGAGTTCTAACCCAAAAAAATTGTAAACACTTAAATCAGGGAAATTCCACCCACCTACAAAATTCTGATCAAACATGTCCAACATAGGCTACTGATTAAACACAAAGATCATCTTTATTGCATTGTTAGTAAAAAACTGAGGTTACCGTGGTCTCCCATCGAGGTCTGGAGGTAGAAAGCGCAATCTAGGTCTACAAAGACATTTGTGAGGCAGCGTGGTGGAATCAGGCTCTCGTCAATTTTTGGGCATGTAGAGTTATTGGTATCATCTTAAAGCTTGTTCACCTGTCTTTATTTGGATGAAAAAAGTATCCATTTATCTTGAATACAAGTCGAGATATTTGCAATTGAAGGAGGTGGGGTCACCTGTTTTAAGAGATAAAATTAGTGAGAAAATGGCCGCCAAAGATTAGTTATTTCCTTAGCTTAAGAGCCTGTGGTAACTAAAAATGTACATTTTTTGTGCCTTTAATCAACGTTTTTCAGAAAAATCCACATAGAAATGAGTTCTTTAATGGGAATGAAAGGCGTTGAGCCAAAATAACAAAAAATTGATAAAAATTCACAAACCTGCAGAAAAATGCAGGTTTCTTCACTTTGATTATTTTGACAAGAGCCTGATTCCACCACGCTGCCTCACATTTTTGGTCTTACAACATTTGAAATTCTTATGACTACAGCATCACCTATAGTAAAGTAAACACATCTAATATGTATATAGTGTAGCATTCACATAGCGGACACACACATAGCAAACATGTTCAGGTTGCAATTTTTTTCTTACATGTATATATTATTTAAAACATGTACAAGTGAAGTTTGCACATAGTGAAAAGATTTTCTAGTCCTGCCGATTTCTCTATGTGTATGCCAGATTGTATACATATAGACAGACAGACAAACAGACAGATGGGTGCATTTCAAAATCAAAGAAGTAAGTGGACAAAAAGGTTGCTCAAATACAGGTTGGATAAGATCAAAAGGAGGAGACATTATCATGGACAAAGGTGATGTTTTAAACAGACGATTAGAAAACAGAAGAGATAGACTGACCATCAATCCTGAAAGAAGAAGTACAAACTGCCATTATGAAAAAGAAACAAGGAAAAATACAGGGCTTGGTAATATTCCAGTTGAAGCAATTGTC